TTTTTTATGACTATCCCTTCTGTTTTACTGATGGCACAAACTATGCAGTTCTGTGAGTACCTATTAATACAGGCTTTCAACTACATAATACGCTTTCTTGAAATTCTGTTCTGGATTTCTAAGCTTTTTTCAGGCCCACTTAGAACATCACAGTCCTGGGCCTAGCGCCGCGGCCTAGCGGCTAAAGTCCTTGCCTTGAACGCCCGGGATCCCTTATGGGCGCCAGTTCTAATCCCGGCAGCTCCACTTCCCATCCAGCTCCCTGCCTGCTTGTGGCCTGGGAAAGCAGTTGAGGACAGCCTAAAGCCTTGGGACCCTGCACCCATGTGGGAGACCTGGAGGAAATTCCTGGCTCCTGGTCGGCACAGCACTGGCCGCTGTGCTCACATGGGGAGCGAATCATCGGATGGAAGATCTTCTCTATTTCTCCTCCTCTCTGTATATCTGGCTTTGTAATGGAAATAAATAAGTCTTTTTAAAAAAATATCAGAGTCCTATAACAACTATGCTCAGAAGTGTCTATTTAATTGTCTGTATCCATGGAAGATTGGTTCCAGGTTCCATTGCAGAGCACAAAATCTAGATGCTGAATATCCTTTCACGAAGGGACTTAGCTTTTACTTACAATCTACACACATCCCCCACATACTTTAAATCATCTCAAGACTGCTTGTACTGGCTAGTATGATGCAAATACCACATAGTTACCTCAACGCTTTGCCTAGTAACTCTTCTAACTCCATTTGGGGTTGATTTCTGGAACTTAGTTTGTCCATTTAAACGTGTCCTGTGGGTTCAGCATGGCTAGCTGAGTAGGCTAGTCTTCTACCTGCAGCTCCAGAACAGCCCGGATTGTTTGACTTCTGATCCAGCTCCCTGCATTGGCCTGGGAGAGTGGTAGACAATGGCTCAGGTCCTTAGGCTCCTCAATCCGGGGGGATCTGGAAGAAGTTCCTGGCTTTGTGTCAGTTCAGCTCAGGCCGTTGAGGCAATCTGGGGCGTGAACCAGCAGATGAGATTCCAGTCTCCTTCTATCACTGTAAAACTCAGATAAAAAATTTTAAAAGTGTCATGTGTCCAATATTTTGCATACCTTGTTGTTTATTAGGACTTCAGTATTGAAGAGTCACTTCTCCCAAAATTTTTATGGTCTGCATCCGCGGAAGGAAGGATTTCCCCACTCTGCTTGTCTAGTGACCCTGGAAGCTGCTAAAGCTTTTTCAGAGTACAGCTCTGGCTACCTTCATGACTGCAGATAAAGAAATTTGCCGGTGTGCTCAAGACCGCCCCCTGGTGTTTGTGACCCGGTGGCATCACTTGTATTGTAGTAATTGCAATGTTGGAGCGTCCCCCAGTGTCCATCTGTGGCACTGACGGCTCTAGTACCCTTGAATTGTCTGTTATCAGTGATTCCCCATCTCACACCTGCTCCTGTCACTGCTAGGACCAAAGCAAGACACAGTCCAGACCCAAGAGCAGGCCACGTTTCACTTCTGTCGTCCCAGGGAGGGGACAGAAATTGAAACAACCCTGCCAACTGCACAATGCCATGCATGGAGCAGACAGTAGAACTAGGAGGCTCTGGCAAGACACAAGGTTCGGAATTTTCCTGCCTGACTTAATTGAAGTAGGTCAGACTCACTTGTGGCACAAGAACACTACTGACTCCCAATTCCTCACAGAGGCATTTGGCTTACATATCATTTTTATTTTGTGTTGTTGTTGTCCTGGAATACTCTGCAAGACTGTATCCTCCCACTTCATGTTTTACTAGATTCATGTTTCTTCCCACCTCTACACTGAAACTGTGTGACTTCAATCACTCAAGAACCAACCATTGGGCCTGGCACAGAGGCTTAGAGGCTCAAGTCCTCACCTTGAACATGCCGGGATCCCATAGAGGCACCAGTTCTCCAATATAAGAATCTCTAATATGCAGCCACAAATTTGCCCACTGGGGCAAATATAAATACTGTGACTTTCTCTAAATGCCTTATGTTAACCTACCTTGTCAAAAAAGTTGAACTTTAAAAATACTTCTTCTCAACAGAAAACACTGAGACAGAAAAAAACAGAGCTCCATTCATCGACTCACTCCCTAGTCGCAACAAGCTAGGCCAGATCCAGAAGCCAAAGACCACCACCCTGGCCTTCCACGTAGGCACCAGGGCCACGGCACTTGGCCCATCTTCCTATGCCTCTCCAAGCGTTTACTAAATTACACATGAATATTACACCTGGTTTCTGTATCAACTCTGAGCTGGCTAGCAGTGATCCCACATAATTTCCAATAATCTAGGTTGACGTTTTCTTCCCATCACCTACAAATGATTGCCAGGAACCAGTCCTAGAACCCTCTCTAGGATGCTGACTCCAACTCCTACTGATCTAAGCGTTTCCTTCCAAATCAATGCAACTTCAACAGAACTACTTCGATGCTTACATGAATCACACACACATGAAATAAGTCTCTTTAGTTCTTTTCTCAAACAGCCAGTTTTTTTCTTTGTATACTCAGAGTACCAGGTACACCACAATCAGTTTGAGTTTCCACTGGCTGAATAATCTTCTATTTCCTGAAAGACTACCCCAAAATTCACACCTCCTTCCTGGGTCCCACACAGAGTACACACTCAAACCCTAAGAACGCTAAGCTTTCTGCTGGGGTTAGAAACAAAATCAAAGCACACCACTGAAGAGCTCAGTGCAACTAAGCTCTCTGTGTTAACAGCTGAGAATTGTGTTGCGTACGAGAGCATACCATAAACCTATTCTCTAATTAATGAATGTACCCAAGTCACCCACCGCTGTGGCACAGTAAGACCAACAGCTGCAACACTGCCAACCCATTTGGGCAATGGTTTGAAACGCAGCTCCTCCACTTTTTATTTTTTTAAAGATCCAGTTATTTTTATTGCAAAGTCAGATATATAGAGAGATGAGAAGAAACAGAGATGATCCTCCTTCCGATGATTCACTCCCCAAGTGGTCGCAACAGCCGGTGCTGTGCCAATCTGAAGCCAGGAGCCAGGAACTCCCTCTAGGTCTCCCACACAGGTGCAGGGTCCCAAGGCTTTGGGCCATCCTGTCTTCTCAGGTTATAAGCAGGAAGCTGGATGGGAAGCAAGGCTGCCAGGATTAGAACTGCGCCCATAAGGGATCGTTGCATGTTCAATGAGAGGACTTTAGCCACTGTTAAAACATACTTTTTTAAAACAAAGAGTTGGGCCCAGCAGCGCTGCCTAGAGGCTAAAGTCCTCGCCTTGAACGTGCTGGGATCCCATATGGGCGCCAGTTCTAATCCCGGCAGCTCCACTTCCCATCCAGCTCCCTGCTTGTGGCCTGGGAAAGCAGTTGAGGACGGCCCAAAGCTTTGGAACTCTGCATCCTGTGTGGGATACCCAGATGAAGTTCCTGGATCCTGGCTTTAGACCGGCGTAGAATTGGCTGTTGCGCTCACTTGGGGAGTGAATCATAGGACGGAAGATCTTCTTCTCTATTTCTCCTCCTCTCTGTATATCTGACTTTCTAATAAAAATAAATAAATAAATAAAAGTTTTTTGCATCCAAAGCTACGGCCTTAAATCCTGGTCACAGTGTCAATCTTTTTCCATACCAAAACCCTGATGCTACACTGTTCGCCACATTTCCTTTCCTACCATCCACATTTTCCTTTGAGATGATTTCTTCTATGTTTGAAGTGTAACTGCTGTAATTCAGGCTACATGTCTTCATGCTCTAGAATCATAACTTCTCAATAACTTCTTGGATTCTAAAAGTACCAAATTCAGCCTGTTAACTTTCTTCCGCAGCTGCCAGTCTCAACTTACCACCACACAAGGTATCTTTCGCCATATACCTAAACTTTTCCAAAGTTTTACTGATTTTGCCTCCTAAGTCTTTCACTGAAACCATTCTCCTCATCCTCTCATCTGACCCCATCTCCCCACAGCTGGAGGAAGACTGAAAGTCTGGTCTTGCTAATTTGTTGCACTCTATATTCCTCACTCTAATTCAGCTCTATGCTGCATTTTCATCCTCCAGACAGGCTCTCCATGTCAAGACTTACTCCTTTTTCACATTTTGGAATAAGTTAGGGAATCAAGTTGTATCTTCTTAAGTTTTCCTGCAAATAAATGTGATTTTTTTGGGAAAGAGATTACATATCTAGCACCGACAATAGCTGAAGGCAAATGATCTGCAACGTAAGAATGTAATGAGGGAAAAAAGGAAGACCAAGACCTGGGACAGCAATGGAGACAATTTCCAGTAACAATTTGTGTTGCATGATTGAGTCAGGAAGACTGTGGGAATTTCATTTGTAAAAAAGTGATCTTTCTCAATTGATTGTCACACAGAGTTGATATGGAATCCAGTGAAAAAGCATTAAGTTTCTTGCAGTTAAACACACTGTCTCTATAACCGCTGGACCATCAAATGCAACCTCCTTTCAAATGTAAACATACAACATAGCTTGCAAGAAAATTGGGGCTTGATTTAATGCACTTATTATTTACTGAAACAAATGTGTGACTACACCAAAAGCGCCCAAGGTGCAGGCGTGGTGTAATATATAGGTTAAGCCACTGCTTGGGATGCCCACCCTTCGAGAATATGGGGTCTGAATCCCAGCTACTCTTTCTTCGATCCAATTTCCTGCTAACGGGCCTTAAAATACACAGCAGATAATGGCTCAAGTACTTGGATCTCTGTCACACACACAGTAAACTCAAATGTGAGTTCCAGGCTTTGGTCTGGCCCAGCCTCAGCTATTGCGGACACTTAGGGAGTAAACCAGCAGATGGAAGGTCTGTCCTACCTCTTTTCAGTATGAATTTCAAATAAATGAATTTTGAAATAGAAAAGACCATAACCACTACCTAAGAGGATGTCTCAAAGACAAAATTCAAGTCACAGTCGAACCTCTGTTGCGCTACATTCTGCAGCATTCACAATGCTTAACACAGTACAAATCAAACAAAAAGGCCAAACTACAGAAGTATTATCAAAACCTTGTTTTATTTTCAATACAAGACCAATACCATGCTTGTTACTAGTGCAGTTTAGGGCCAACAGTGGCCACCCAGAAAACTGCTCAACAGTCACCTAAATGCTAAAGAAAGAAAAGACAAAGTAAACATTAAAAACAAAACTGTAGTTACAAACATTTTAATAAAATGGAATACGCTTTTATAATAGAAGCTAATATGGAAGTTTAGTTCTCAGGGACACCAAAAAGATGTCTACTTGATGAAATGCCTTACCTTTTGCACAGAAATCTTATTGTGAAGTCACCAGAGTCAACAGCTAAATTTTTAAGACTTTCTTTGGCCTTCTGATATGGGACAAATTATTTACAAATTGATTCAGTAATTCATAGATACTGGTAATATGATACATTTGTTTTTTTAAGGACGTTCCATTAAAATTGTAAAACAACTTTGTAAGGCTGTACAGGGTTGTAAACTAGTTACTATAATATACCATGGGATGGAGAGGAAGAAGGAACAATAAATAGACCTTTCTTTAAGGCTAAAATGTTTTTAGATGCATTCCTCAGAATACATTAGGATTTACCTCCAAAGGATCCTTTCCCATTAAATTCCACCTGAGTACTACAATTTTCAAAGTAAAAAAATAAACAGGAATTTGCCATATTTGAAAATAATTTAACTTACAGAATATTGAGAAGCGTTACGCAGTAACAGTGGGACAAAAGAACACACCTTCAAAAAGATACTTTCACTAAATGCAGGGTCTGTCCAATTAAACATTTACACCCATAGTGGAGTTTTAGGATACTCCCACAGGAAAAATTCTTGGTAGTATTTTTCAACCACAAATACCATTTCAAGATCTGTGTGACTTCAATTAAATTCTACCTAATGTTTAAAGAGACTCCCATTACAACAGATGTTAAGGAAGTCTTCAAAGCATTAACATCTGTATGTAACCACATGTATATACAACCCATGGGGGAAAACACAGTAGCTGCAAACTCAAATAGTGAATGCCAACAACCTGAAAGTTTAAAGAAACACTGGTTAAGACATACCTAATTCAATCTGAACAGGATACAGAGGCCTGACTATTCATAAACTCATATTGCTTCTTTCTAATGTCAAGAAAGAAGAGTATAAGAACTTTCCCCCAGAAGCCTAGACACTTTTAACACATTTTATAATTCAACCAACTACAAGACTTTAACCTTGAGTCTTGATATCTCAAAATCAAAAATCTCACAGTTACAAAATCAAGGAATGCCATATATAAGGCCACATTTTAATAAATTTATAATTTTTGGCTGAGTACTTATTTTAAAAATTAGTCTAAGGCTTCTAAGAGTCAAGTTGCTTAAAAAAATACACCAGTGTTTAAACTGAAGGATGTTAAAAAAAAAACACACACACACACACACACTATAAGAACAGAAAAATAGAATGCTTTGCTACAAAAATCTCACTTAATATATTTTAGCACAAAAATGTCTACTATGTACAATGGATAAGCGTGCATTTCAGTACATACAACTGGTGGAGACATTTTTACAGAGGGCTATGGGGATGTAAATGAACTTAATGAGGAAAATTTAAAAAGAATTATCTATAAAACAATGAGAATCTCAATATTGTATTCTCAATAAAGAATCAGAACATAAACTTCCTCTTAAGATAACTTAAGCTGAAGCTTTAAACACAGAACTGGAGCAATCTGATGACACAGAAAATGCAATGATCATTCAGATATGAAAAACCAAAATGTTGAGAGCACTCCAACAGAAAAGTCTTGCAGTAGCATCATATAAAAACAGTATATATTTAGGTGATTGGCACATTTAAACATATAAGGGAAAGAGAAAATCTTTACCCTTACAACTATTTCCCCTTTCACTATAAAATATTATATAACATTCATTAAAACCTCCATGTTTGTTTTAAGAACTGACCTTAAACTAGTAAAAAATAAAGCAATATTCTCCACAGGAGAATTAAATGAAAATAACACCTTAAGCTACAAGTTACTTATGAACTCCAAATTGTAGTTAACTGCTTAAGAACATTCTGAGTACAGGGGCCATCAAATGGGCGAAATTAAGATCAACAGCCACAATTTAGTCTAAATCTTGCTTATAAAACTTGAAAAAATAAGCTTTGCAAATCCCACAACATATTTCCTTGAACCAAAATCAATACACTCAGTTCAAAGTATCATGCAGGTGCTGTCACCATTCATCTCTAACTTCAATAATGGCCAAAAGGAATGTGACTGCATAGCACCAATAAATGCTATGGTTTAAAATACATTTAAGATTAGCCTTTCTGTCAACTACAGTTAAGAAATAAATGAAAAGGTCTCTGAGACACTTGTTTTTTTTGGTGTCTATGCAAAGATTTATCTCTTTGGATTGCTTTTACACAACGAAAAAAAAATGTTTAAAGCACTTCAAATAATATTGGCCCATAACCAAGAGGGGTGTAAAGAATAAAATCATCTTGCAATGATTACTTTTCCTAGTGTACATTTGTATTACTGGGGAGAGAAGGACTCTGTCAGATTACATTGGCCAAACCAGAAAGTGATTTCTTCCTGACAACACTTAAAAGCACTGGACTAGCAGCAAACAATTCTAGTACACTCACATTGTCTGCAACAAAAGCAGGGAATGAGATCTGTCAGAGGGGAAGGAGGGACAAAAAGAAGCAATTAAAGGGCTTCATTGATTTAAAAAACAAAAAATGAAAACGCAAATGAAGGATGCAATTAATACAAAATTTCCAGTTTCATTTTAAGCTCAAGTACAGTTAGTTTTGTGATTCCACCGTAAAGTTGAGCAACTTCTGACTCATGGACATTTTACTTACCTTTTAATTTTATTTATTAACTAATTTCCCTTGTTTATTTATTTATGCCCATACTTCTTCACATTAGGGCATAATTAAAACATGTAAAAAGCTAAAAACTTAATAACATCTATTCACATGAACAGGTTTGATACAACTCTCAACGATTAAAAGGCAACTGCATTTTCAAGAAGATAAACTCTTAAAAGCTTCACTTCTGAGAGCACAGTTCTGTAAACACCATTGATTCCAAGCAAAAATATTCCAATCACAAAATGTCTTAAAATAAAACTGGCAGTAGTATGAATAGCCTGCTCATTCTGTGAGAAGCAGCTGGCCAGCAGACAAGATGAGACTGAAGACGACACTGCCAATCTTTGAAAGCCGTCTACAGCCTAACATAGGGAACCGAATAACTTGTTATTAAAAAAAATGTGGCTATATTTTAAAACAGTGTATCACTAGATCTCTCAAAAATAACCAGATTTTCAAAATAAAACTGAAACAAAATTAACTGGCTTAAGGATTTTATTCAAATTTCTGAAGTAGTAATTCAGAACTACCTTCCTATAAAAATATTTGATTGAGTCAACATTGTGCCTCTGTGAAGTTCTGCAATTACTAACACACTCCAGCCAGCTGCAGCTACTATGAGCCTGCAGCTAAGTCAGGCTGTATGAATAAACACAAACTTCCTTGAACTATGGAGACAGGGTATGCCTTTAATCTTCCATGACTCACATTTTGGAGAATAGAACTCAAATACTAGGATCACATTCTTCAGAAATCTATGGCAACCCAAAACTTAAGCCTGCAGTATGACTGTATTCACTGTCTATGGCTTCGAAACTAAACCATAAGCACCAGCGATTAAAAAGAAAAACAAAAAGCAGCAAACAACTGCTGCATAAAATCAGAATTGTCAAAGTCCCTCCTCAGGACCGGCAGCTCACAATGAAGTGTTTCAGTACACCTGTGCTGTAATTCAGCCACATGACCATACCAAATATGTTTTTTTTAACTGAAATGTTAACATCTCAAATTGTTCTGACCCCTAATACACTGACTGAATTGCTACATCTGTCAAATTTCAGTTTTTACAAGTTTACACATCATTCAGCAAAGTCACAAGCTAACTAGGTAAAAACAGCTAGAAAAGCAGAATATAGAAATATTAAATAACCATGTGATCACCTATCCTAATATCAAAACCAAGGGCAAGACACCTAATTAGTATGTTTAATTCACTTAACACAAGATTAGATTGATGCATATCCAAAACTGCTATTGCAATGCTTCTTTAAAGGACAGTAAAAATGTTGTCAATAGTAACATTATCTTTAGATATTGCTGAACACAAGACTTTCCCTGAGGTGTAAACATCAAATAACTTGAACAGCTTTACACATCAGCCCCATTAAACAGTTTATTACAACACTACATCTATTGTAATCAAAGTGGTGCTGTTTACAGACATTATCATATGAACATTTTTAACAAGAACAAACTACTATAAAAACAAGCAAATACTTGACTTTTTCCAATTGCTTGCACATTATAATGGCCAAATGTATATAACCAGTAATAAAGTTGCAAAAGCTATAACTTTTTAAATCACACAGGTTTCCTTCAAATAAAACAGTTAAGCAACATAAAAAATAAAAGTAGAGCTACTGGTTACCATTTACGCAGATTTGCTTTATTCAGATCTATTCACTTTATCCATGAATCCTTACACGTTCAGTTCATCGCAAGAAGCAAACTGCTGGACAAGCGTCATTTTCCCCGTGAAGGCTGTTTTTGTCTTGGAAGGTGCTCCTCTTCCTTCAGCTGTAATGTGTCAAAATTTGTGATGTAGATTTTGCTAATCCCCAAAATACACAGAAAAACGTTGGCTTAACTATACATACACAAGTTGTACACCTACTTCACTGTTAGGTATTCTAACACAAAATTGTAATTCACTGAAACAGTAGCTGCTTCTGTGCTGGAGAAATGCTCACAATTTATCTAGTGATTTTTAAGATTGAGAGACTCCAATTTTCATTCTTCTTAAATACTATTTTCTGGAATTTAATGACTGAAATATAAGAGAAAATATAGCAGCTACTGTTTCTGTAATAGAAACAGCATTGTCATTTTCTAAAATATGCATACTACAAAAATAAATGAAAAATGCCTACATGATTTCAATGTAAGTATTTTTCATTCATTCATGTGTCAATTCTGTACTAGCTCATTAAGTAAATGCTGAACTGAGTATCCAATATTTTACAGATTAATAATCTTTGACAGCATACAGGCACTTCTGAAGTTATTATAAATCAAATGGTGCTCCATGTTACAAAATATATAGATAGCTCAAGATGGACATTTAATGTAACATCCACATACAAATCATCAGACATAATACAAACTGAAGACATTTTCTTTCCTTTCACTATATTGGATAACCATAAACAAGCTAAATGGGAATCAACATTGATAAATTTCATTGAAAACCCACATAATGCAAACAAAAAAGCAGAATGAAGTTCATAAACTAAAATTTCAAGTATACATGTATATCCAAACTTCAGGCAGAGGTTCACAAAGAAACATTCAATTAACTTGATTGTAAATAAATAAATATTTAAATGCTAATATTTAAAATATATATTCCAAGACAGCATGTCAATAGTGACTAAGAAATCAAAAGGGCACAATTTTTAGAGATACTGTCATAAAAAATAAGTTGCAAAGTGCATTTGCTTCACAATTAATTTATCACAACTCAGAGTTTTAAAAAATCTTTTAAGTCCTGTATTCCACAAATATGTTGTAATCAACTTAACATCATTACACATTTGTATTCACTACCTAACAGTTTAAGAAAAAAATAGATGCTGAAATTCTGGAATTATCTTTAAATGGTTTATGTATGCCCATATTTTTCAAAGATACCTTTACTTTATGTTACAGCCATACAGCTACTGGAAAAAAAAAACCCTCAAATGACAGACTTTACCGCTTTTTAATTTGTGCAATAAGCTTTTAAAAAAAGTAGTACTGCATTAAAAGTGAGAAGGCATTAGGTTCTAATCTGGAAAAAGAGTTACCAGAAAATTAATAAATTACAACACAAAACAATGCCATCTCCCTTCATAATGGACAGGGGTTGTTAATCCTCTCAGTCCCCAAAAGTTTTCAATTTTGCAAATACTTCAATAAAACTGACACAGGTGCAAGGTCACCCTAAGTGGTAAATTTACTGACCCAATTTTAAGTTTCTATGAGTGTCCTCAATATAGGAAAATGAGACACAACTAGGCTAAGAGGGGAATATATATATAGTAAGATTACAGTATTCAACCCTTTCAAAACAGTAATATTGTAATGGAGAAATTCAATATGAGGGTAGGGCTTGGGGGAATCCCAGAGCCTATAAAACACATAAAATGAAATAATAATAATAATAATAATAATAAAAAAGTTATATGGTAACATTTTTATTATTTTAATGGAAAATTTTGCTACTTTCTATAGAGAATGTGAAATTACAAGGTATGTGTTCATATAGCACTAATGAACTTAATTATACTTTATAATAAGTTTTAGTTATTTGTAAATCTCTTAATTTTTTTTTTTACCATATAGATATAAAAAATTTGGGAGGGGGGTGGGCTGACAATTTTTATTTCTATTTCTAAACATTTTACATTTATCCATTTGAAAATACAAGTTTTACAATCCCCAAACAAGCAAATTTGAAGGTAATACAACCCATTTCCAATCATCCAATTCCATACTGGTCTCAAATATCTACAGCTACATAAACAAATATATAAAAAAGCTTGAAAGTAACAAATACATTCAATGTCCATCATTTTCAGAATAGCATTTGATCAAATCGACAGTCAAAGCCACAGTTACCTGCTTAGCCATCAGTCATAAAAGATCTATATAAACAGTTGGTAAAACTAGAAAGACAAAGGCAATCTAACAGCCCTCTAGCTAAAGTCTCAGCATTAACCTACAAGTAAAATTTCAACATAGAAATACCTCCATTTTGAAATAATGTAGATCAAACAATTACTAATAACTTCAATTATGAATGCTTCTGCTTATTATGCAGAACTTGCAAAATCCATATTTTAAACTAATCTTTGAGACATTATGTAGACTAGACCTCTTCTATATGTCTTCATATCAATATACTGAATTAAAAGATTTTCATTAAAATTTCGGAAACCTATAGAAATCAAACTAACTTTTCTCTATCTGAAAAGTTCTCCTGAATGAAAGAAATGGAGATGAGGTGGACAAGAAAAATAACCGTCTAAAAACATACTAAACTCTTTTGCCAATCAAAATCCCTTCTGTAGCTGGCTAGAATGTCATTACATAAAAAAAAACCTGTTTTTTTTGTTGTTAGAAGTTTACAGAAAGTTCCCTATTACCAAAACATTCTAAGTTTCATCTGTCTCTGAACATACTTACCTCATTTTAACTAAGAATAATGATAATAATAATAATAATTCTAGAACATAATACACGATCGCTCTAGGCAGTCTACTAAGTATAGAAACAAACCACGAAGAGAGTAAGCTTTGCCTCAAAATATTTACAAAAATGGATATTTCAAATGTGCTATTATTCAGATCTTACTGTCAGATTCACAGATGTCAACACAGAAAGTGAATTCATAACTGGAGAACATTAATGGCACCTTCACCTCTTATTGGCTCTTGGGCTTTTATTACCAATATTAAATATTCAAACACTAATTACTCAAAATAATCTAATTTACAAACTAAAATGATAGTAAATTTCACACTGAGATGAGGTAGAAGTAAGGCGATTTCAGTGGCATTTTAAAACAACAGAGAATATTAATTATTTAGAAACAAAAAACTATACTCATATTCTTAAACCACAGTGAGCAAAACACTATATCCATCCAAGGATCACTTCCTATTCTTTTAAAATTCAGTTAGCCATGAAGTGTCAGACATATTATTTCTAAATAATACTAAAAGAAAGGGAAGTCAGAAGCTAAAGAAACAAGAACCAGCCCATCCAGTTGTAGCAGTTAAGACACACACACAGACTGAGAAAGCACTCCAGGAAGTATTACAGAGCTTAGATGACATTTGTTTTTTACAGTCGGTTATCACCCCACAAGTTACCAAAAGAATTTAACTTTCAAGCCTCAATGCAACAACTAACACTGAAGAAAGCAATCTGACTCTACTGGCTTTGTTTCTTTCCCAGAATTAACACAAAGCTAATCAGCTTAATATAAACATTTCAAAGCATTCCAAAGCTTGTGCAAGTAACAAAAATATTTGCAGAAGTAATCATATAGCTAAGAGAAGTGTAGGTATTTAATGCAGACTCCATACATGATGCTTAAAAATCTTATTAAAAGAACAGAAAATGACTTCAGAGTATGCAAAAACTTCACAAATTAGGAAAAGACTGAATAAAGAGTATTTTTTAAAATTTCATTTTCTTACTGTTTAGTACACAAAGAAAAATGAAACTATCAACAGCAATCTGACTAAGGTTATTCCAAACAGAAAGAACACAACCTTAAACAAAGCAACTCAACTATGAAAGTAAAATTATTTTTGAAAGAAGCATACAATATTAAAGCACTTTTATTTTGCTCAGAGTGGTCTGAGAATAGAGACAGAAATTACAGAATATGAACCACAATATATTTACATACTGAAATTTACAATATTGCTATTTTCTCACTGGATATTATCTATTTGAATCTAGATATAGAATGCTATTGGAAAAAGTAATACATATTAAAAATGAGAATGCAATTAACATTACCAACAGTTGAAACACACACAAAAAAGTAAAATGGACGGACATTAACAACTTGTCAACATCAGTAAGTTTTCAGTTAAATCAAGAAATCGCCCTATTAGCTGAACACCATCACTTTAATAATCTACTACATTTGTATTTTATTTGTACACAGACTTGTTATCGACATTCACTTTGGCTTTCATGTCACTCTTAATCCATTCTGTCCATTTAAGATTTGCATGAAAGCTCAAAAGGACTCATATTTTAAAACTTCTAAAATGGTCAACAACAGACCTGATCTGTAATATTGGTAATGAGATTTGAAGATGATTTTGTTTAACAAAATTTTCACTTTTAGTATCTTTCATCCCAACCCCATTCCTTTAATCATATCTACTTCCACAATAAATAATAGCAAAAACACAATAATCCAGGATAACAAATTTTTGCTGGAAATATATTTAAATTTTTGCTTGGATGAGGCACGTAACAGTATTACAACTCAATTTTGATAAATGTACAAACAAAACATGGAATTTTGGTATGATACATCAGTCATTACGAAAAATGTCAACAATACTTTGTTATGTTAGGAATTCAATTGATGTCTAAATGTAATAAAACTCAAATTATGACATGGCTAAGTGTACCACTACACAAATGTGAGTTAATATATTGAAAGTGATCAATGGGTTTTTCAGGAATCCATCTGGCCAATCTTACTTTCTAAAATCAGAAGATTGTCAATAATTAACATTGGGCATAAATTGGTTTAAAGTCACATTCATGGGCACACAAAATTTTAGAGGTGACTGACAAAATAGCTAAGTTTCATTATGTCTTCTGTAATTGGGAGATTGCTGATAACTAAGTCTGAAAAAAATGTATACATCCTATAGAACTTATACCTTCCTGCAAACAAAATGACACAGCTAAACATCTGAAGAAACAGTCTGGTTTCATCTATCTCAAAACAATAGATGAATTAAGAAGGCTTTTATAACATGGGCTTACATAAGTTCCACTTAGGGGCTACAGGGAAAGCTACAGCTTTAAAACTTTAGATTTTTAAAACTTTAGATCTTTAGATTTATATGATAAAACATTCAATTCTTGCATCCAAACATAGTACCAGTTCCAGTAAACTTATTTTTTAAATTAAAAGATGTTCTATTTCATATTAAAGGAATGTCTTTTTGGAACTTTATTAAATTTTGTATACAAATATATGGAGACTGTAATGAAATTACGGCTTTCAGGTTACACAGTCAAAATGAAATGAAAAGTACTAAAACTGGTCTTTTTACTTCAAAAAGCCCTTAATATTGTGAACAGTATAAAAGCTTATTGCTGTTTAAAAAAAAAAAACACTTTGATGAGTATTTTATTACTTTTATTAAAATACACCTGTTATGGTTAAAGAAACTGGCATTCTGTCACAGAAGTACATACACTTCACAAAGCCTTTGATTTTGCCCATTACAATTTAAACACTAACAATTATCAGGTCTGGTATTAAAATTTTCCATGATTATTAAAAAAACAAACAACCAACCAAAAACAAAACATAAAGAGTATCTACCTAGAAGGGGCTTTGTTTCTGTTTTAACCTAATTTAATTTGGATATGCCACAACAAATAAAGAAAAAATAATTCTGATCTACAGAGTAACCTTTGTGTCACATGCATAGGCCTTAAAAAGTGCTTTCCCAATTTCTTCACATGACTTAAGTGCTGCTCACAAATATGAAAATAAAATTACATGTGAAAATAAACCATAAACAAACAATTTTCCCACTTAATGAAAAATGCACACAAGAAAGTTTTTAAATACAGAAAAAAAAGACAATGATTATGATTTATGAATGAAACATCAAAGAAAATTATTCAAAGGTTATTCTAACCTGGGAAGTTTGTACTGACACAATTTAAAAGTTTAAGTTGAACCCACTTTAATCAAGAGATTTCTCTATCTTCTTTGCAAATTTCATACTGTTTCTCCTCTTTTAACAAAACCAGATGCCAGGGCAACAGTGACTTTTCTAAAATGCTTTAAAAAAATGAAATAAAACTCAGTGCTGAGTAAACACTGTCCTGTGTTATCAACCATAACAGAGGTGAATTTTCTTAAAAAGTTGCAAGGAGAAATGAAATTAATTCAAGTACAAACTTTGAAATTTATTTTTAAAGCTCCAAGCACACACTATTTGTATCTGAGATAACTTTTGTATTTGTTTCAAATCCTTTAAATCACATGAAAACTATAGGAATATGGGAATGCCAATTTTTAGGTTTTAGAAGTACACAATGAGTCCTCTTGATTATTTTTCTTGCTTTATTTCGATCATAACAATGTTAAGACTAAAAGTGACAACTCAACAATACAATTTTCAAGAAAAAAGGCCAAAATTTTTACCTGTCATCACTTACCTGCTATTTCTCAGATGTTTTCAGATTAAATTCGGAACAAGTAGTTGGACCATTTAGAATGTAGGTATATATACTGCAGGAACAAGAGCCTTGGAGTTATAATCACTGTTGATAATATATCAGGATCAAGGAATACCCACCTTATCTAACGATGACGATACTCTCGCTCTCGATCCCTCTCTCGGTCGCGGTCTCGGTCCCGATCCCGGTGTCTCTCTCGCTCTCTGCTTCTCTCTCTATAGTAATCATCATGACGATCCCTACTACGGGATTTATGACGCCGACTCTTTTCTCGTGATCTGCTATGGTCCCTTTCTCTTGAGCGTTCACGTCTTCTAAAAGAAATTACTGAATTAATGCTTTCCTTACCAGACACTTTAAAAATACATTCAGTTTTAAAATACATTCAATACAGTCATCCCTCCAAAACATTGTTTTGCTTTCTGTACTTTCTTTTTATTATTATTATTTATTTATTTTTTTTAATTGGAAAGGCAGACATACAGAGAGGACAGACAGAGAGGAAGATCTTCCGTCCGATGATTCACTCCCTAAGTGAGCGCAACGGCCGATGCTATGCCGATTCGAAGTCAGGAGACTCTTCCAGGTCTCCCACGCGGGTGCAGGGTCCCAAAGCTTTGGGCCGTTCTCGACTGCTTTCCCAGGCCCATATGGGATCCTGGGCGTGCTAGGCGAGGACCTTAACCACTGCGCCACCGCGCCGGGCCCTCTTTCTGTACTTTCAATTACCTGCTTTCAACAGTGGTGTTGAAAATATTAAATAGAAAATTTCAAAAATTGACAATTCTTAAAGTTTAAGCTGAATGTTCTGCGTAGCTTAAAGAAGTCTTCTCATGGTATCCTAATCCTTTCTGTCCAGGATAGATATATATCATGCCTTTGTTCAACACATTTATGTTATACACGATACTCATCCCTTAGCAAATGAGCAGTTCTTATTAGACTGATTTTAGGTTGCTAATAACTATCGTAAGAGCAAATCTTGGGGTTGGCAGAGTAGTGCAGGAAGCTATTCCTCTGCTCATAGGGGTATCAGTCCGTGTCCCAGCTGTTCTACTTCTGATTCAATTCCCAGCTTATGGCCTGGGAAAGGGGCAGAGGACAACTCAAGTTCTTGAGGCCCTGCACCCATACTGGAGACCCAGAAGCACCTGGCTCCTGGTTTTGGATCAACTATGCTCTGGCCATTGTGCCCATTTGGGGAATGAACAAGCAGATAAAAGACCTTTTCTATCTGTCCTATCTCTGTAACATCTCTCTTTTAAATAAATAAGCCTGATAAGTCCTGTCTGTAGAATCATGAAAGAAAAAGAAATTTGCGCTGCATTTGCTGTTATACCCCAAAGTGCAAGAGTTACAACTGAAACGTGTTCATGCAATTAACATGGAATGCATTACATTTTAGGGTTCAGTACTTGTCATGGTTTCAGGTACACAATGAGGTTTCTAGAATGCATCCCCTGTATTTTGGTGTTTAAAAATTCTTTGTAAGTCTAGGCATACTACGAGTTGCAAGGATCAATCATAAATCTCATTTTAAAAAAATATTTACAAAGCATTTGGAAATCAAAAACACATTAAAACATCTATTTAAACATGAGACTAAAGCACACATAGCATTTGCTGAATGAGCATAAAGGTAAAAAGAAATTTCAAAGCACCTGCACGTTAAGATCAAGACCATCTAGAACAGTTTTATGTATGAACTTACAAAGCCATTCATACAACAGGGCTTAACACTTTCTATATGCCATCAACATAGGTGATACTATCCAGCGATACTATCCAGATTCTTTATCTCTGGATTCAAGCCTCAGACTGAAAATATGCAGGGGAGAAAATCCTGTGACTGTACTAGACTTACATGGAACAATCTTTCTTCTTATTATGATTCCTAAACAACAAAAGTAACAGTTGACATGGTATTTGCTAGGTTATTATGAGTAAGTTGCAGATTTAAAGCACACAGGAAAATGTTGCTAGGTCATATACAAGTGATCGTGGGCCACTTTACATAAATGACTTGAGTAGCAACATATTCTAACAGCCGCAGATATCTTGGAATATCAAACAGGGATAATGAGGGATAGTTTCATGTAAGTATCAAATTTAGCTTTCTAACTAGCCAGAATGATTTACTAGGACCACTGTACTCTACTAAGAAAATTTCTAACAAATGGTTTCGGGAGGGGGGAGGGGAGGAGAAGTGGAACAGAAGCCTATCATTATGACAGGGTAGGAAAGTTTAGTTAAAATTAGAATATTTTAGTCTTGTATTTTTGCACCAGATTTGATCAAACATTGTTAGGGGCTAAGCTCCTTTACTGAGGAAGTTCTTGCTAGGACTGAAAAATTTAAGACACATATAATATGGTTATTAGTTGTGACAAGCTGGTTCACATTACAAGATAAGCAAAGCTAAAAGGCAATAATTATAAAGCTGGAAACCACGAAAGTCCTTTCCCTTAATTTAATAATGAAGAAGACTCTACCACCAGATAAAGTACACTCAAGAAAACTTAGGAATATCGTATGAAGATTAAAAACATCTATCAAACTATATAAAATGTATCCACATCAGCTGCTAAGGATGCTAGTCTAACGTGATGGAATACAAGTGCCAAACAAGAACAGTTTATGCAAATACTATGAAAGAAATAAAGAGAAGAAAATGACAGGCTAACCTGGAAGACCCTCCTAAAAAGTCTGAGACATAGAGGAAAAGCCAGGTATGTGAAGAGCCAGGGAAAAGATTCCCCAGAAGGAATGCCAAGTACAAAATCAGTAAGATGATCAAATGCTTAACATATCCAGAGGAAAAGAAATCAATATGGTTGGAGGAGAGTATAAATGGGGAGAAGTACAGGACAGACAGAGAGACCAAAGCACATGCCTCAGGGCTTCGAATCTTACCCTAAGTCTAAAGGAAAGCCTCTGAAGAGTTCTAAGCAAACACCTGACATTTGATTAAGGCCTTACAAAAATCAATCTGGTTTCTGAGCCAACAGTAAGCAAATCAAAAGTCTCAAAATACAGTATTGTTTTCCTTTTGTAAATGAGCAATTTTCAACATGCAGGAGACAGGACAGCTTTACCTTGATCCAGAGCCATAGGACTTGGACTCAATTCCATGCAGGCAATCTTGCAAAGAGCTAATAAGAACTTTGCAGCGATCATCAGCAGATACTTTGGATTGTTTAATTAAAGAGATTGCAGTTACCAAAGTCTCAATAGCACTTCCATAATCACCTGCAGGAGAAGAGAAATATGCTGAAGTCAAGCAAATTTTGGCTGGGTCAGTGTGGCTCAGTGAGGTAAGCTGCTTTCAGTGCCAGCATCAGTATTAGACTCAAGTTCACGTTCCCGATGATCCATTTCTAATCCAGCTTCCTGAAAATACGCCAGTGAAGGCAGCAGGGTCCCTGACTTCAGCCTGGCTAGTTACTGCAGGCTTTCTGAGAAAGAACTAGTGAATAAAACATTATCTCCTCCCTACTCTCCCCCTCCCCAACTGTTTCTACAAGCAAATGAGTAAATCTTCATAAATTTCATTGAGAAACACCACCAAGCCACCTGGGAATAAGAGTGTAGAAGCATTTTACTCCAAGTATTGCACTTTAAAACAACCACAGAAGATAATTTTTTTTTTTTTGATTCAAACTTACAAACACTTCCATGTATATGAAATTAACCTAATTTGGTATTACAATGGCTGTGTGAAACAGGTTATCATTTTGCAAATTTGACACTAAATGAGCTGCCTGAAAGCCCCTGAAACTATTGAATTTCAAGGCCAATACTTAAATCTACACCAAATGAGTTAAAATTGTAGGATCTGCTACATTGCTTTCTCCATTGCTCTTAAAACTGGTAACAATTTGAAAAAAACAAAACAAAACAAAAAAAACAAAAACAAAAAACCACCCCCCAAAATTATTACATTATTACATGTAAATTACATATCTTCCAGATGGCATCTAAGTTTAGACCATTCCTAGTAGCATAAAGAAGAAATATACAAACCAGCACTGGCATCAGACACAGCTCTTGAGATAGCACTACTTGAAATTGCCCTGTTTCTATTCATGATTTCTTCAAATTCAGCTTCACTCAATGGTGTTCTTGCAGTATCCATCTCCCTTGAAAATAAAAACAAACCTTAAATCAAACCAATTGGATTTTCCAAATTATTCACAGTAGTATAAAGGACTTTATACACTATTTTTGACATACATCTGATAAATAGTAGCTACTTCCATTCTGCAACTTATTTTTCCTACAAATACCATGTTTTATCAATGAAACATTATCACTGTTACAAAGTAACATACCTTCCAGGAGGGCCATAGTCACCCCTATCATATGGTGGTGGTCGACCATACGGGTCCGTAGGTGGTGGACCTCGACTATCTGATGTAGGCATGCCGCTGTTAGTTGGTGGAGGAAAGAAAGCTGGGTTCACATGTGGAGCTGGCGGCGGGGCACCTGGAGGTGGTCCCGGAAGATGCGGTGGAGGAGCAAGTGTAAGGGGTGGCCCAAGTGGGCCAGGTGGGCGAGGTGGGAAGGGGCCTGGAGGTGGAGGTGGTCCCTGTTGCGGAGGTGGTGGACCAGGCGGGGGGCCGTAGCCTGGAACTGGAGGTGGAGGGCCAGGAGGAAGTGGACCCAACGGAGGCTGCCCAAAAGGTTGTCCAGGAAAAAGAACTGGTGGTGGAGGGCGATCTCCTCGGTTAGGAGGCCCAGCTAGAGGCGGTGGCAGAACCTGACCAGGAGGTGGAGGGCCTGGCGGGCCAGGTGGGCCAGGAGGACCTAAGGGTGGACGTGGCGGTGTCTGTCCAGCTACAGAACAAGAGAGAGAGAAAGGGGAAAAGAAAATTTTAATAACAAAAAAAATATTTAACCTTTACATATGCCAGATTATACTTTTAAAATATAATTAACTCAGACCAAAATTCTCTCACTTTAAACAAAACCCGTAATGTAAATGCTACTCTAACAACTGCAAGTGAAGGATATCCTTACAAATTTAACTAGTTCAATTTACACTTAGCAAAAACTACTCAAGTAAAGCTTTAATAAAAAAAGATTACAGTGCTTAGAGATATTTTCCATCTTTCAGTGTACATACACTTCTTACAGTGAAATCACCCACCTTATATTCTACTCTGATGCCAAGCTAGAAAGTGAAACAAGGAAAAATGGTCTTGAAAGGATTTTAAGAGGTAAGAAATAAGACTGATGTAATTATTCTATATATAAGTCAAGCAAGTTTGGAGAAAAATAAAGACCTTTTAGGCCAAAAATGGGTAATTCCTCTATGCTGTGCCCCATATGCCATGGAATCCTAGTTTCCAGGAACAAAGGCCGAGTTCCTTTAACAAGATGCTTGATCAAATTTCCTGGATTCCAAAAATAGCATAACAAGGAGAGTAAGTCACATTAATAATGCATTACTTGAAAAAGAGAGAAAAGGAAAAGAGGCATTAGGTAGACATGTTTTATCCATGATAATTTAAGTAAAATTTTACCTGGAAAAGGAGGGGGTGGCCCTCCTGGTCCTGCGGGCCCAGGAAATCTGTCCCCACCGGGAACAGCCCCTGGAAAACGGCCCCGTCCTCTACCACCTTGTGGAAATGCTGCACGTGAACTGCCTCCTGGAGGACCAGCTTTACCTTCCCCAGACATTTGTCCTGATTGTGTAGCTGCAAATATCCAAATACTCATAAATAGCACTTATTAGAACAGCTCTTTGAAATGTACCACTGTCACTAGAAACAATTCTACTTCAAAGTCCAATTATGCTATGTATTAACTGTCAGAAGCCTTGGGCCTGTGCAAGCTACATAAAAAGTATTGGTTAGGAAAACATTTACATCTATTTAAGTTCTTCTTAAGTCTCAAAACACCAGCTTAAATAAATTGCCAATGATTAAATCAATTACTTTCAAAATACCAGTGCTCTGCAACAGCCAAGACTGAAATTCTTCAACAGTAATCTTAATTCAGTAGTATAGAGATCATCTAAATTTTGTAACATATTCTTCAGTTATGTCTTAAGTGCTAAAAACATTAAAAGAAAAACAAGCACTTGAATTGCTGTTAATTACATGGCCATCCATCTCATTTCTTTAAATAACATTCTGAGTGTACAATGCAAATCATCTCCACATTCACTTAATCTAGTGGTGAAAGGTCTTGGTGTCAAAGCATACAGACAACAAAAATTTTCTGGTTATTAGTGGTCTCTCCCAACCCACAACACTTTTCCACACAGCTTTCTTCCAATCTGAGGATTATAATCTAGAACCTATCACTGAAATGAGACTGACAGGACAAGAATGGCAGCACTATTCAAAGTTCAACCCTGTTACGGTATTGGCTCTGGGACATCAGCAGAAAGTGAATTTCCTGGACATGGGCCCAGGCTTATAACCAGTTTAATCGATTAAGTACAGCTCACAGATTTTCTAAAATGGATCCTCCAATGAACTTAATATTTCAACAGCTTCCCTAACCTAACACCTAATAAACACTACCAACTGGTTAGAATGAACATATTTGAACAAAAGTCTCTGGGGGGATTGCTTACTTTTCCTGGACTGCATTTCAAATTGACTCAGGAACTGTTTATTGCATGGAGTTACAACAGGATTCTGACCATGAAGTTCTCTTTTAGGCAACAAATCCATTAACTTTTTTGAAGATGCTTCAGATCCAACACCAACGAGAGCAAACCTAAAAAACGTTTAAAGGGGTGAGGGCAGAAAGTGAGGAGAGATTAATAGTATTATGACTACATTATAAAAAGGATTTATTTATTTGAAAAGCAAAGCAACAGAGAGGTGAGAGGGAGAGAGGGAAAGAACGAGAGAGAGAAGCAGACTTTTCACCTTCTGGTTCACTTTCCAAATGATCCCTACAGCAAGGTCTGGGCCAGGTTGAAATTAGAAGCCAGGAACTCCATCCTGGTCTTACTTACATGGGTGGCAGGCGCCCAACTACTCGGGCCATTTTCCACTGCTTTCCCAGGCCCACTGGCAAGTAGCTGGACTGGAAGCAGAGTAGTAGCCGGGACTCAAACTGGCACTCCGATATAGGATGCAGCTCTGTCACAAGCATTGGCTTAACTTACTAAGCCACAACAGTAACCCAATATTACATACTATATCTATTTTTTAAAAATGTCTGAATTCACTTTCATTTAATTAAAAAACTGAGAATATTTTTTCCTAAGATTTGTTCGTTTACTTACTAGAAAAGCAGAAAGTTAGAGGTAGAGAGACCGAGTCACAGAAAAATCTGCCATCTGTTGGTTCATTCCCCAAATGGCTGCAACAGTGAGGGTTTTAAGCAGTAGCTGTGATGGCTCAAGTAGTCGGGTGCCTCAGGACCCGAGCTTTGTAAACCTGCTGACTGTAACACCAACATCCTACACAGGCGCCAGTTCAAGTCCCGGCTGCTCCACTTCTGATCAAGCTCCCCTGCTAACACACCTAGGAATGTAGCAGGCCATTGCATCCAAGCATGAGACTGGAAAGAAGCTCCAGGCTCCTAGCTTCAGCCTGGCCCAACCCAGGCTGTTGCAGTCATTTGGGGAATAAACCAGTCAGTGGAAGACCTCTCTGTAACTCTGCCATTCAAATAAATTACATTAAAAAAAAAAGTTGGGTTTCCGTCATCCTCAATAAGGAAACCTAAAATTAGGTCTTGGCTCCTTAAGGATAAGCTAACAGAAAGGATCTTGCTCTTTCTGCCTTTCTAATAAATAAAGTGCCATGGCCATAATGGGGAAGTAGTCAATCTGAAAAACAAATGCTGATACATTCTATCACACAGACAAACCTTGAAAACATACTACATAAAGGCAGTCAAACACACAGGATGACACACTATATAAATGAACTTGGGTGTGAAGTTTTTAAGGTAACAAGATGATTTGGAATTAGCAGCAGTGGTGACTTAACTTTGTAAATATCCTTTGGCAATTACTGAATTATAAGCTTCAAAATGGTAAAAAAAAATTACCTGCATGTGAAAATTATATCTCAATCAGAAACAATTTTTTAAAAACTGAAAACTCATTTTTATAATTATCAAATAGTCTGGATTGTGGGGCTGTTCCTTTTTTTCCCCTAATGCAACTCCTTGATTTGATCCCTTATTCAACAAATTTTATGACATATTCCAGAATTTACTTACAACATTTAGGAATGGCTTAATTACTTGAATAATTATTCACCACTTGCTATATGCCAAACACCATTCTAGGCCAAAAAAAATCAGTGTCCATGTGAAGTTTACACTCTAGTGGGAGAAGTCAAACCCAGAACTAAAATACATAAAAAGAATGAAAAAAATAAAAGACAGATAAGACATAAAGGTGCAATTTGCACAGAGCAGTCAAGAATGCCTTAAAAAGACTGATGGGGCTAAACAAGGAGCAATAGGGAGTAAGACCAGAGGGGAGGTTGAAAGCCACAGCTCACAGGACAATTTAAAACCACATGGTAATGACTGAGAAAGGAAGCCATTAAATGACTGTGAGCAGACAAGTACCAATGTTACATGTCTGGAACTTCCATATTTTAAAGCAGTTGTGGGGAACTTTTTCTGTTAAGGGTCATTTGGATATCAGTAGCATCATTCATGGGGCATAAAAAATTGCCAACTTAAGATGCTAGTGTTATGGATTTACTGAATTTTAACTCTTGCATATGGTTGTGCTGGCAGGGTCTTCCACAACCTGCAGGCCTGCCATTCTCCATTTATTTTAGGGTATGAAATAGATCAGAGTGAAAGCAAAACATCAGTGAGGAAGTTACTGCAAAGTTCAGCTGATAAATGAAAATGTTTTGCAGGAGGGTTGTAGCAATAAAGGTGGTGAGATGTATTTGTTTCTGCACATATCCTGAAGATGTCATTATTTTAGTATAAACTCAAATAATAAACAATATAAACATTCTTTATCATTCTGGACCTAAGAATTTATCCTCAAATAAAAAAATCTGTACCTGAAAACATGCATAAAGCAATGCCTTTCATATAACTTTTCACAAGCAAAATTAGAAGCACAAAGCAGTCAAAAAAGCAAAATATAGCAACATGAAAGAAGGCATAAGGAAAAGAACTAGACAGGATGTGAATTTATTGATAAATATTTGTTCTACTGTTATCAAATTATGCTATAAAATATATAAACAGTCACACCACTTAAGAAAAAAGAAAAGGCCTAAAAGTACATTTACTAGAATGCTAAGGGTGACCATATATCAATAATGAGATTATGGCATTACAATTCTTATTATGGACATATGTAGCTTATTATTTTTACATAATGATCCTGCCTCACTTTTACAGTTTGGTAGTTCAAAAAGCAAAACAAACATTCATGTTACTCACAGTATTCTCCAGTTGCCCATCTTCCCCCATCTCTTAACCACAGGAAGAGTAATGCTTCTTACAACTGTCATTTCAACCGTAGGTGGAGAAAACTCAGGAAAATTAGAAAGGAAAATGCCTATCTGTCCACATATCCAACTCCCTTGGTTTCAGTACAAGGCCCAAGAGCCTCATTCCAAGGTAGACAACCACATGATCCATACACATGTAATTAGAATTTTCTTTAAGGAAAGTCAACTTATAAACTGTAATCACTTACATGAGAGAGAGAGAAAAAAAAAAAAAAGGAAGGCAAAATCTTACCCCTTTGACTGGCCATTTGCTCGATTTTCAAAAAATTTTATCTCCAAAATATCATTTACTCCCAAAGAATGAACTGCCTCAGTCAAGTCTTCATCTGTTGTCCACTGCAAAGACATGTACCTCATCAACCATTAGGTACAGCTAAGATTTTCTTTCAAATTTAGTTTTTAAGAGTAAAATAAGCAAAAATAGAAAATTCATATTCAGTGCAAATTTTATGGTACAATTCCACAGGGTCAGAGATTTCCCTCTCTCCTCCCCAAACTCTCACCACTGCCCTTCCCCCCAAGTGATTTTCCCCAAACTATTACAATAGTACAGTCCTTCATGAGCAGTCATAAGTCCATCAGTCTATTATTTCAATGTGCCCTGACATTGCTGGAACAGACAATGTCAGACAGTCCAGGTCCCCATTGTCTATCTTCTCGTTTTAAACAGCAATGATTATAAAAAAAGTTTTTTTGAGATTTGTTTCTACAGGAAAGGCAGATTTACACAAGAGAAACGGAAAGATATTCCTTCTGCTGGCTCACTCCCTAAGTAGCCACAGCAGCTGGAGCTAAGCCAAACTGAAGTCAGGAGCCAGGAGCTTCTTTTGTGTCTCCCACACAGGTGCAGGGTCTAAAGCGTTGAGCTGTCCCCGTCTGCTTTCCCAGACCAGAAGCAGAGATCTGGAAGTAAAGTGGAATAGCCAGGATACAAACTGCAGTCCATATGAGATCTCAGCCCATGCAGGGCGAGGACTTTAGCCACTAAGCTTTCATGCTGGGCACAGAACTAGAATTCTTAATAAAATCAATGAACTGCTACTTTGTTCCTTTTAAATAAAATTCTTTTCTGAAATAAACACCATATGTTTAAAAACAAAATGGACAAAAAAAAAACCTGTTAAGTCCCAATTATTTCTTATAGTAACTTCATAACTTCGACAATTAACATCTTATACAAAGCAAGAGAGGGTTTTGTCCAGGGTTAGAAAAGGAACAGGTAATAAAACTAAGATTGTGCCTGGGGACTGACACACACGGGAAAGCAGCAGAGAAGACAGCCTGGTATTGCAGTGACCGATTCTCCAGTGGCATTCGGTAAGCTGTGATCTGAATTCCACTGGTATCTGGAACTCCACCAGCAAAAAGGCGGGGAGGGATGTTCACCAGGATACCCAGGAGGTGAGCCCAGAGAAAGAACTGCTTGTTCTGATGGTCTGTTTGATTTGACCAGGAGCAGAGAAAGAGCAGCAGGACCCAGACTGCGCCGTGGGAACAGGGTGGATTTCTCAGCCCAGTCTGACCCTTAGAGCTGAATCAGGTGCCATTTGTCTACAGAGGCAAAGGTTATGGGACAGGACTGTGAATGCATGGAACTGGGGGTGAACTCATTTCTGGCTCAGTATACTGCAACAAAGGGGCATCCAACAGGATTTACCCAAAAGGTCCAGATAGCCCTCAGACCTGACAGCCAAAACCTCTAATACTGGCACATCAGGCACCATTTTGTACGGTGTGGAAAAGAATCTAAGACTGCAGGGGACAACAGTGAGCTGCGCATGTGCTGAGCTCAGCAAAAACTCACTGAGCTCAGTGCACGCACTGGTCCCACAGGGAAAATACCAACTTGGTATCGTTTGGGCCATAATAGGTCCCTGTGGCCCTCAGACCTAATGGCCAACAGGTTCCGGCAAGATCACCAACAACAACCTAGCTACACAGGACTCCTGGTATTCCCCAATTTTGGGAACTACTCAGGCCAGAAGTGGGAAAAAGGTTATACAGACAATGGTGCTGCCTCAGCACAGTAACACAGAAGGTGGGGAGTGGTGAGCCAAGAGCTGGGGCTACAGAGAGTATGGTGAAAATCTAATCTAAGAACCTAGATCTGGGTCCTGGTGCAATAGTGCAGTGATTAAGGTCCTCGCCTTGAACATGCCAGGATCCCATATGGGCGCCAGTTCTAATCCTGGCAGATCCACTTCCCATCCAGCTCCCTGCCTGTGGCCTGGGAAAGCAGTCGAGGACGGCCCAAAGCCTTGGGATCCTGCGCCCATGTGGGAGACCTGGAAAGAAGTTCCTGGCTCCTGGCTCCAGCTCAGCACAGCACTGTTGTGGCCACTTGGTGAGTGAATCATTGGACGCAAGATCTTCCTGTCTCTCCTCCTCTCTGTACATTTGCATTTCCAATAAAAAAATAAATAAATCTTTTTTTTTCTTTAAGATTTATTCATTTTCATTACAAAGTCATATATACAGAGAGGAGGAGATACAGAGAGGAAGATCTTCCGTCCGATGATTCACTCCCAAGTGAGCACAACCGCCTGGTACTGTGCCAATCGGAAGCCAGTAACTAGGAACCTCTTCTGGGTCTCCCACACGGGTGCAGGGTCCCAAAGCATTGGGCCATCCTTGGCTGTTTTCCCAGGCTTCAGGCAGGGAGCTGGATGGGAAGTGGAGCTGCCAGGATAGAACTGGCGCCCGTATGGGATCCCGGGCGCGTTGAAGGCAAGGACTTTAGCCACTAGGCCACGCCGCTGGGCCCAAAAATAAATAAATCTTGAAGAAAAAAAAAAAAGAACCTGGATCTGGAACTCACTGGAGGGAGTGGCACAAGTGACTGCAAACAAAGAACCAGGGACCAACTGCACCAAGTAAAAAATCGCATTGCAGACTTGTGGGTGACAGAGTTTAGAAACCTGCCCCAGGGCCCGGCGAGAAAGCGTAGTAGTTAAGTCTTCACCTTGCACATGCCAGAACCCCATATGGGCGCCGGTTCTAATCCCAGAAGCCCTGCTTCCCATTCAGCTCCCTGCTTGTGGTCTGGGAAAGCAGTCGAGGACGGCCCAAAGCCATGGGACCCTGCACCAATGTGGGAGACCTGGAAGAGTTCCTGGCTCCTGATTGGCTCAGCTCCAGCTGTTGCGGCTGCTTGGGGAGTGAACCATCAAAGGGAAGATCTTCCTCTCTCCTCCCCTCTGTGTATCCGTCTTTCCAATAAAAATAAATAAAATCTCTAAAAAGAAAATAGAAAAAAAAATGCCCCCATTGTAACCAGAAGTACAATGAAAAAAGGGCAAAAAAAGAGATAAAGGCACAAGGAATATTCCCCTGCAAAGGAGCAAAAGCCTTTGACAACCCCAGAGTTCACGGAGGAAGACATTGAGAAAATGGGGGATACAGAGTTCAAAACACTTGGTATAAAACTTCTTATCAACAATGAAAAGCACATAAAGTAAGTGTTCAAGGAGTTTAAGGAATATGTCACACAGGAAATAAATCAAAGTTGATATATCAGAAATGAAGACTACAGTGGAACAAATTAAAAGTACAGTAGAGAGGCTCCAAAATAAAATGAAGCAGGCAGAAGAAGCAATCTCAAAATTAGAAGATACTTTCTGTCACCAGGGGGAAACAAACAAAAAGCTGCAAGCCGAACTGTGCCAAGCTAAAAAAGTAATCAAGACACTTTAAAAAGACACTATTAAAAGGCCAAATATAAGAGTTATGGGAGTCCCAGAAGGTCCACAGAAAGAGAAACTGGGTTTTAAAATGTATTTAATGAGATACTAAAGGAAAAGTTCCCTAATCTAGAGAAAGAATTAGGAAACAACATTCAGGAGGGGCACAGAACTCCCAACAGGGATGACCAGAAGCGATCTTCACCACAACACATCATCATCAAGCTCTCTTCAGCCAAACATAAGGAAAAGATCCTTAAATGTGCACATGAACAAAATAAGTAAAGAAACTTACATATTAAGGAATGCCAATTAAACTCACACAGGAGATCTCTCACAAGAAACCTTCCAGGCAAGAAGAGAATGGAGCAACATATTCCAGATTCTAAAAGCAAAAAACTGTCAGCCCAAGATAACGTACCCAAAGCTTTCCTGTTCTTCTTGTTGATTTTGTTTTGTTTCTTTTCATGGGGGTGGGGGAGTGGGGTACAGTAACTGTGTATTGGAGACTATCATATCCAGATGTGAAGCTATAATGCAGTATACATCTCTACTTCCAGATCAAAGATGGACTCCCAATGAATCTTTTAATTGTGTCTTGACAAATGGATGCTGGACTCTGCCACTGTCCATGCCCGCAATATGAACATAAGATTGTTTAGAACTATACTATAGTAATAATAATAATATAGGGGTACTCGGCATGTGGGTAGACTTGAGGCGGGGGTAAGGGAAATTCCAGGGCCTATGGAACTGTATCATAAAATAATAATAATAATGAAAAAAATTTCTCCCTCTTTCAAAATACACGTTTTCTAAAAATTTGGACCAAAAAACATGAACACTGAAAAGGTTGAAAATCAATTACTAATAATTTAATTCTTGTATTAATCTTACTCACCCAGGTTAGGTTCCCAATATACAATGCAATTCTCTTTCCAGTATATGTGTAGACCACATTTGGGGCTGCTCCTTTGCCCACATCATCACCAACCGCTGGCGGCAGAGTATCCATGTAATCTCGGTCCTCTGGAGCATCGCCATTATTTGCAGATGGAGAGATGACATCATCATACAAATCTATCTGATCATGTCCACCATATTCTGCTTCCTGAAGCACAGAAACAAGGCTCCCGATTATACCATAACTACACTTGAGTACACGTTGAGTACACGTTCATCTAAATTTTTTTTAAAAGTCCAGGAATGAAATACTCAAATAATAGTAAACAAATATAAAGATGAATATCTAAAGAAAATATATCATGCAACAACATGAAGAGATTCCAGAACCACTGCGTCTTTAATATTTGATCATAGAAAAATATACAACTATAATCTTCTATGCCAGTCAGCTCTTATTTCCCGACCTCAAGAAAGCTCTACTTTCATGAAAAGGACACTGAGCTGGTCAAAGCAAACACATAAAGTGTGTAAATGATTTAATTTTGTACCAAACAAGGGAAAAACAAATTAAATATAAGTAAATTTATGCAAATAGCATCTTACAATTATTTAATTATTCTCAGTCAACAAAGAATTGATGCTTACCTGATGTTTTAGATATCTAGTCAAGTAAATTAGCAAAAGAATAAAAGTTATAAGGACTTAACAAAACTGCAATTGTCTGTCACCAGCAGAATTAAAGCAATGCTAATGGATGTCACTTATATACCTAAATGATAAGCAAGAAGAGGAAAATGAGAAAGAGATACATGAGTAAGAGAAGAATGGGGGAGGGCTCAATTTGTAAATAGGCTCAAGAAAAATGAAACACTTAACACCAATTAACGGACTTTAGAAATTTTTGGGATACTAGCTTACAACAGAGAATAAACCACAGTTTTACCATCTTCCTATTCCAAGACCAGTTAAATCACTGTGAATTATTTTACTCATAAGAGTAAAATACTTGAAATATTAAAAAAGGAAAAAGACAATTACAAGAATTCAGGCATAGTTCATATGCTCTCCAACTCGCACAGTTAAGAAAGCAATACAACTGGCATATAATGAGCAGTTTTGGGGATTACTACAAGGATAGAGAATAATCCACAGAAAGCATTTATTGCATGATGGGAAACAGATCAATAGGACTTACTATGGGCCCCAGGGGAGCATTGCGATGGTTCTATTATTCAAAACAGATCACAATTTAAAACAAAACAAAAAAACCACCAAACTCCTAAGGACAAATACTATTAATACACAAAATCAAGGGATCATAGAATTGTAAAGTCATCTTCAGGTCATAAATAATGAGTTATCAAGTTTACTGTCAGTAGCAGAATCTTTACAATGGGTTTTGTTTGTTATGAGGTAGAATGTCTCAAAGACATGTCATCGTGGGGCCAAGATTTAGGTAATCACAGAATCTTAGCAATGGTAAGACAACATGGAATAATATCTTAACTTTATTGTTTGTACAAAAATACCAAAATAATTGATAAGAAACAAGTCTCTACTAAAGAAATTAACATGTTCAAATTACAGTGACATAAAAGTTAGAATAAAGGAAGGTTATTCAAAGTTATGTTTCCATCCTCCTCAGCAGAGATTACAACCACAAAATATAGTCTGAGGGAGAGCAAAAAACAATGCAAAGGTTATTAAGAGCACAGTGAAAACTTTCCCTTAGAAGACCAAATAAGACTTCACTTCTCATTTTCTTCACTATTTTAAACCTGTGTAATGTTTACATTGTCAGACAATAATTTACAAACACTAATGGCAGCTACAAGATGCTACCTGGTGCATAACAACCACTTACTATTTTTGTAAGTCCATGAATTCCTATGTTGATACCAACCAGTTTTCCATACTGATATTCCACTACTATTTGGCATCAACCATTCTGTCCGGTAGTCGGACTGCTTCCAATTTGTTGAACCCCAAACCCTGTAGTCTTGTGCTAGCCCCAATGAAATATAATTTTCATTTGGTGAAAAATACTAATGAATCTGAATATATTTGTCACTATTACTAAAAATGAAACTCAAAACAGAGACTCTCGGTAGCATCAGTAATCCTTTTTCAGGTTTACCATCACTTTCACCCTCAACATTAAGAAAATACAGCAAATGTCTAACTTGGGTCCCACTTCACTGAAGTCGGAAAACATTAATATTCTGATAGTATGCAAAACATGCATCATACAAAGCAAGCTCTAAAACCCACAGAACAAACTTTGAAGAGTTCACATTTCACCAGATCCAGTCAACCCTGTCAAGGTCCGATGTGTAAAGGGTCTTTTGAGGAAATATTTAATCTTTTATTTATTCATTCATCTATCTTTACTGGAAAGTCAGATATACAAAGAGGAGGAAAGACAGAGATGATCTTCTGCCGGCTGATTCACTTTCCAAGTGGCCACGTGACCGCAACGGCCAGAGCTGAGCCAATCCAAAACCAGGAGCCAAGAGCCTTCCACCTCCCCATCCCCTCCCCCAGAGGTCTCCAGCCTGGGTGCAGGCTCCCAAGGCTTCGGGCCGTCCCAGGCCACAAGAAAGGAACTGGATAGGAAATGGGGCTGCAGGGATACCAACGGATGCCCATATGGGATCCTGGCAGGTACAAGGTGAGGACTTTAGCCTTCAGGCTACCGTGCCGGGCCTTATTTAATCTTTTAATAAATACCAACATCTCTTTTCCTCCAAGGTGTTACTTTGGATATTTCCCCAAAAATACCCACCCCATGAAATTTTAGTTATCACAGGTTTAGTGTATGCCATTACTAGAATTACTCAGTTATAGCCATCAAATCACTTTTCATTCTGATATGCCCAACATTTCTTCTGTGGTCCTAAAATTATAGCAACGTCACACACACTACTAGCAATGCATGGTAAAGGCATGCCATGCCTCACTTAAAGTCTGTCTGATTTCTTTTCTAAAGATTTACTTCACTTGAAAGAATCACAAGAGAGAAGGGCAGACAGAAATCTTCCATCTGTTAGTTCACTCCCAAAATGGCCACAATGGCCAGAGCTGTTTATCCAAAGCTGGGAGTCAGGAACTTCTTTTTGGTCTCTCACTTGGGTGCAGGAGGCCAAGAACTTAAGACCACCCTCTGCTCATTCCTCATGCCTTTATCAGGGAGCAAGATCAGAAGTGGAGCAGCCAGGATATGAGCCAGTCACTTTATGGGACACCGATGCTGCAGGCAGAGGTTTAGTCTACCATACTGCTGTGCTGGCCCTCAAAAAGTTCCTTTACTTTTAAGATTTGAGAATCCAGCATGGAGGCCTAGCGGCTAAAGTCCTCACTGTGAATGTGCCAGGATCCCATATGGGCGCTGGCTCTAAATCCCAGCAGTCCCGCTTCCCATCCAGCTCCCTGCTTGTGGCCTGGGAAAGCAGTTGAGGACGGCCCAAAGCCTTGGGACTGCACCAGCATGGGAGACCTGGAGGAGGCTCCTGGTTTTGGATCGGCTCAACACCGGCCATTGCAGCTACTTGGGGAGTGAATCAAAGGACAGAAGATCTTCCTCTCTGTCTCCCCTTCTCTCTGTATATCTGACTTTCCATAAGTAAATAAACAAACAATTTTTAAGCCAATAGCAGATAATCTAATACATAACAGTCATCCTTCAGTATCTAGTTTCAGAAACCCTCTCAACCTTCAGGAGAATAATCACTCACTTCCTTTATAGAAAATGGCCTAGCTGGGCTGGCACTGTGGTGCGGCATGCTAAGCCACCATTTGCTGTGACAGTCCAAGTACAACCTGCTCCATCTCTGGTCCAGCTCCCTAATGTGCCTGGGGAAAGCAGAAGCAAGGCTCCTGCACCCACATTAAGTCCCAGTCTCGGGCCTGGCACGATAGTATAGTGGTTAAAGTTCTCACCTTGCACACACCAGGATCCCATATGGGCGCAGGTTCTAATCCAGGAAGCCCCGCTTCCCATCCAACTCCCTGCTTGGGACGCTGCACCCGCCTGGGATGCTGCACCTGCGTGGGAGACCTGGAGGAGCTCCTGGCTCCTGGCTTCAGATTGGCTCAGCTCCAGCCACTGCGGCCGCTTGGGGAGTGAAACATCGGACAGAAGATCTTCCTCTCTGTCTCTCCTCCTCTCTGTATATCCGCCTATTCAATAAAAATTTTTTAAAAAAATAAAATAAAAAATAATCCCCAGCCTCCTGCCTTCAGCCTGCTCCAACCTGAGCCATTGTGACATTTTGGAGAGTGAACAGAGGATGGAGGATCTCACTCCCTCTTTGAATTTACCTGTCAAAAATCCCACAGTATTTGTACTTGACCTGTGCATATCTACTCTTACCTTTAAACATCTCTAAGAAGAGTGTGAATGGTTGTTATAATAACATAATATCTAAGGACAGGGGAAAAGTGTTTACGCTCAGTACAGATACAAGCTTTAAGGCTGTTTCAATCAAGCTGGTTGAATCTGTGGATTGGAATCCGGGAACACACAAGGCCAACTACAAACTTTTAAAGAAAATATCTCATTTGATGGGGTGACTGTCTGGACTAGCAGTTAAGACTCTGGACAACTTTGCTGCACACTGGATTAGTCTGCCCCAGGCTCCCCAGGGACGGGGGTCCAGCCACTCATGTAGAATGTCTCGCCCAGAGCACTCAGTCCCTTTCCCCACCCCACCCTCATTTCCGTCCAGGCCCAGCTATTGTAGGCATCTGGGGAGTGGACAAGTGAACAGGAGCTGTTTCTCAGAAGACACAGTTTAACTAACCGAGCTCATACATGAATCAACTGGGAAGAACTGTCAGCTCCCCTCAACATTCCTATGCATACTTCTCAATGAGCTTCTATATACTTCATTTTGGCCTTTACAATCCTACAGTCTTAAGACACAAACAAATCAGAAATAAGGCTTCAAGGATATTTATCCAATAAACTTATTTTCCATAACCATCAAAACAACTGGCCAGAGCAAACACATAATGCTAAATATAATGCAAAACAAATCAGCAAATGAAATGGCCTATCAGAATGTCTAGCCCCTAATTTCCCAATTTTCTCCTGGCCACTACCTTTGAACATTTCATTTTATATAGTTTTTTTGTTTTGTTTTGTTTTCCAATTGGTAAAGTAGATTTGCAGAGAAAAGGAGAGACAGAAAGATCTTCCATCTCCTGGCTCATTCCCCCAATGGCCATAATGGCTGGAGCCGAGCCAATCCAAAACTAGGAGCCAGGTGCTTCTTCTAGGTCTCCCACACAGGTGCAGGGTCCTAATGCTTTGGGCCGTCCTGTGCTAGTTTCCCAGGCCACAAGCAGGGAGCTGGATGGGAAGTGGAGCAACCAGGACGTGAACTGATGCCCATATGGGACACTGGCACTAGTAGGCAAAGGATTAGTCGACTGAGCCATTGCACCACTCCCCTTACACACACATTTTTAGCTAAGTGGTCCGATTCCTAAACTGCTATGGTTATCAGTAATGTACAGACAGGCAGACTAGAAAATAAACACAAAATGAGGGAATTTGGATTCACAAGCAAACAAAAAGGCCCACTACTTGAACGCACAAAGTAGAAAGGAGCATCCCCAATCTGAGAACACGGAAGCACCAACACTTCAATTCCCAGCAGTTCAGATACAGGACACTCCATCTAGTTAAGCTGTCCTCATGGTCACACATTTTTTTTCTTTGCTTTCCTCTCCTTTGCTAGTTAATTTTACACATGAAGAGCACTATCTACAAAACAGGACCTGTCAAAACAATCTGATTATATGTCTCGCCTCCCCACCCACTACAGTATATCCTAACGGTATGGAAGCTAGCTTTGTACCTCCTGTATGTAACTTAAGAGGTATTTTTGAATGACTGAATCCCTAAACTACTTAGCCTTGGCCAATTTTTTAATGCATAAAAATAGTGAAAAAGAAAAAGAAATTGGAAACATATCAGCTTCTTAAGTGCTATCTTTGAGTAAAAACCTCTATTCACAGTAAAGTGAAGCACAGGAGTAAGAACTGCTCTCTGGCCAATCCCAAATGCAATGCAGAAGGCAGTTTAGAGACACTTCAAGTTCTTCCCAAACGGAAGCAACTGCTCTCAATTTGGTAACATTAGAGACCAAGTCAGGAACTAAAGAGTGCCGACGAAAAATAGCCCAGTCCCTGGTGGTGTCTCTTCACTCTCTAGTTCTAAATTCATCTGATAAAGAAAGGAATTCTACTATAGTTTCGTTAACTTATTTTCACCCCATCCTCAAACAAAAAATTTTCTTTTCTTTTAGGAGACTGTTGAATGAGTCAATTTCTGAAGTTAACGCAAAAGAACGAGCAGCTATTAACAAGGAGAAACAGAAAATGCATACACTAGAGAATTTCAAAGCACAAAATTGCAATTAAAATTGCAGTTCACACAGCGAAAATGATTTTTTTTTAATGTTTAGCAACAATCTAAAATAAGAAAGGTTAAAACAATTCTTCTGTAAAGCACTCTGCTAAACCACAATCCAGTCAGTCACGGTTCACCACAGGCCAGGCAAGAACAAGGCTGCTAGTGTGCAAACGAGCACAGATGAAATAAAACCCATCCCGGTTCACCACAGGCCAGGCAAGAACAAGGCCACTCGTGTGTAACAGCACAGATGAAACAAACCCCTCGCAACAAGCCTCACTGCTGCCTCTAATTGAGACAGGATCTTAAAAAGTACTGAAATCGTTTTTTCTTTGAGAAGGCAGATGAGAAGCCAATGACATGTTAAGTATGCCCTCCCTGTTCATCTCTCACCTCCTGCTGAGTCAATACCAGTTACTGCAGACGGTTAAAAAAGTATCCGTGCACGCAGCTATCTGTGCATGCGTGGTGAAGCAACGTACTCTTCCAACACTTGACTGTCACACTCGTTGGATAAGTACATGACATTTCCTAGAGGTCTATCAACCTTAAATAACTGGCATCCGTAGCACAAGAACATCTCCTAATTTGTAATCGGCACAACAGACATGATATATTCAAAATATAAGCAAGCATAACTTAACAGATATTTTCAAACTGCAGGGTTGATTACAATGGGTTACGTTTAAACGTATACAGGCTTCAAAGAGCAGGAAACATTAAAAGCCACTTGGAAATATCTATCCTAACACTTCTATCAGAGACACAGTCAAGATACACAGAGAAGTAATTCTAAGTTTGCACATCTGCAAAATCCTTAACGAAGGGAAAGAAGGAAACTAAAAACAAAAAGCTTTAACCAGAGGTATTGTATTAAAATTTCGTATATGGACCTGGAAAACACACACACACACACACAAAAGGAACTTCAGGGTGCACTGCAATTGGGTGCAATACGATTTTAAAAAAACAAAAACAAAAAAAGGGTGGTACTAGAGAAAACGCAGAAGGGAGGATAGAATCCACAAACTTAGGGCTTAAAACGTCACCCAGCAACACAGGAGCGCCTTTTCCTAGGATGCTCGCCAGTGCCTTCTCACAGGCAACCGTGTCCGATGGGACACCTGGCCGGCTGCTTCTGCAGTCTCTCAGAAGCCCAGCCCTCCGGAGAAACTCAGCACCCGGCTTCCGAAAACAGGGTCCACCTCCGACCCCTCCCCCTTAGCACTAGTTAAAACTACACCAGGTCTATGCTTTCCTCTCGCTCTGTCTGGGCGGGAGTAACCATCTTTTTGTTCCATCCAACCACCGCCGCGCGCCTCCAATTCCTCCGGGCGACCCCATGCACTTAAGTCCATGGCTCCATATTTTCAACACAAAGGCCCAGCCCGGAGAAGGGACTGCGTCGGCCTGCAAGCCCCCCGCCCCCACTCTCCATCCCCCCGACCCCACGGTGGGTTTCCAAAGCCGAAGGACTTGTTGCCGACGTGCTCACAGCGCCGAAGCCCGCTGCAAAGTGTGAACGGGCCGCGGAGGAGGACGCCATGCGGAAACGTGCCGCAAACGCGGGGTAAGAGCGCGCTGCAGCCCCGGGCGCGCGGGATACAAAGGGCTGTGAACGCGGCCTTCCATAAAGCGACCGTGCGCGGACAGCGAAGACAAAATGGAGCGACGGGAGGAATCGGAGCCCGAGTGGCACGGCCGGGTAAGGAGGGGTGACGGCGGGCGCGCGCCCCGCCGGGGCTTCCTCTCCCAGCCGGCAGGGCAGGGGGCGCGGCGGCCCGTTCTCCCCGCCAGCCCGCCCACCCGCCGCCCGGGCCTAGCGCGGCGGGAAGCGTTCGCCCGCAGCCGCCAACAATGGAGAGCGGCGAGAAGCCAGGGAGTCGGAGGAGAGGGCCCGAAGGCGCCTGCACGGCGGCCCGCGACTGCGCTCCAGGCCCCGCGGGAGGGTCGCCGCGCCCGCGGCCCGCGAAACGACGCGGTAGAACGAGGGGCGAGCCGCGGCCCAGAGGCGGCGGGGCGCACGGTCTGCAGTGGCCGCGGCTCGCGGCCCGTGGGCGGGCACCCCTCCCGCCAGGGCAGCGTCCAGGCCGCAGTGTCGCCCGGGTCGGCGGCGCGGGCCCCGGCCCGCACGTACCTGGTTGAACTCTTCGCCCACATCCGCGTAAATGTCTATGTGGTCCACGCCGTCCGCCATCTTCCCTCGGCCTCGGCCGCCGCCGCCGCCGCCGCCTCCTGCAGGTCCGCCCGCCGCGGCAGCAGCAGCGGATCTGGCGGCGGGGGCGGGGCCGCTGCGTCACTTCCGAGGCCCGAAAGGATGAGGCGGGGGTGGTGGCCGGGCGGCCGGGCCGCTGTGCTGGCTGGGAGCGGAGGCCGCGCCTCCTCCCGACCGCCCGCCGCGGCCGTTTCCTTTGTGCGTCGGGTTTGGGGCTGGGGGCGGCTGCCGGCCTGGACCTGTGGAGACCGCCTTTTCGCGTGGCCCGCGACAAGCTCGGAAAGACGGGTTTCACGTCTCCGTTTTTCCCCAGCGTCCCCGGTCACTCTGGGCGTCGTGAGCCCGAGAGCGGCGTCTCTCTCAGGGGTCCTCCCGTTGCGCAGAGCACCCTACAGACCCGTTTGCATGCCTTGGGGTCCTCGTTGGCCCTCTCCCCTTCACTTTTCCCTGCTTCCATCTGCAGCGGGTTTCCTGTAGCGCTAGTTCAGGTGCCTCTAGTTGGAGAGCACAATCTCTGGGAATCTGCCGAGCAAAGCCGAGGTGTCTGCAGGCCGTGGGCTTCTCTCTCAGAATTATGGAATGTCCAAACTGGAAAGGGTATTGTTAGGTCCAGAAACATGGGACAAAACCTAGGTCAAGCAGGAGCCCAGTGATCTAACCAGCAGTTACCAGGTAGGTAAAGGGGACGGCTGCGGACCATCAGTGGCTTATTCAAAGTGCTTCTGCAGTTTGAAACACTCCCTTAACATTCTTTCTTTTCCAGTCATCTAAAATTGAGCGGTTTCTGAGATATACAGTAGCCAGAAATCATTCACACAATAATTAGGGTAAGCAAGGTGAGGACATGTGTATATGCTGTGGTGGGAAAGCTGGCTCCAAATTTCTGATCAGAGGCTTGGGCAGCTAGATGACCTTAATCAAGTTGTCTGTGTTCATCTTCAATCTCGGGTTATTTTTAAAAATCCATATGGGGCCCGGCGGCGTGACCTAGCGGCTAAAGTCCTTGAACGCGCTGGGATCCCATATGGTTGCTGGTTCTAATCCCTGCAACTCTACTTCCCATCCAGCTTTCTGCTTGTGGCTTGGGAAAGCAGTCGAGGATGGCCCAAAGCCTTGGGACCCTGCACCCGTGTGGGATACCCGGAAGAAGTTCCTGGTTCCCGGCTTCGGATCGGCACAGCACCGACCGTTATGACTCACTTGGGGAGTGAATCATTGGACGGAAGATCTTCCTCTCTGTCTCTCCTCTCTGTATATCTGACTTGCCAATAAATAAATAAATCTTTTTAAAAAAATACATATGGCCCTCACAGTAGCCTAGCAGCTAAAGTCCAAGCCTTGAACCTGCCCAGGATCCCATTTGGGCCCCACTTCCCAGCCAGCTCCCTGCTTGTGGCCTGGGAAAGCAACTGAGGACAGCCCAAAGCCTTGGGACCCTGCACCCATGTGGGAGTCCATGGGGAAGCTCCTGGCTCCTGATTGGCTCAGCTCCAGCCATTGCAACCACTTAGGGAGTAAACCAGCAGATGGATGATCTTTCAGTCTCTCCTCTCTGGAACTCTGACTTTCCAATTAAAATGCTTTTAAAAATACATATATATATTAAAGATAGGCTTACGGAGAGGGAAAGGGGGAGAGATGTCACATCAGCTTGTTTACTCCACAAATGGCCACAGCCAAAAAGTCAGGAGCTGAGAGTTTCAACTGAGTCTCCCAGTGGGTGGCAGGGGCCCAGGCTGTCCAGTGTTCTGCTGTTCCATTTCCTAGACCATTAGCTGGGAGTTGGATTGGCAGTGGCAGCCCATATGGGCGGCCTGCATCACAGGTGACTGGGTCAACCCAGCGATGGCTCTTTGTGTTTCACACTAATGGTCCCAATTCCAGACTTTTTTTTTTTAAGAGATTTTATGTATTTTTACTTCAAAGTCAAAATTTGAAGAGAAATAATGGAGAGCTACAACAATGTTTCATTAACTGGTTCACTCCCCAAATGACCACTACCACTATTGTGCTGGATTTCTGAGATTCCCCAGAAAATCTTTGAGTCTGAAGTCGGTACTAAGGCATGAAAGTGGTTTATTTATGCTAACCTAGGTCTAGCTGAGGCTGCAGCAGGATCAGCAGGCAGGAAAAAGAGAATGGTGATGTTGAACAGCACAGAGTTCTTATACATTTCAGGACAATTCCGTACAATTATCATGATTGGTCAATTTTAACTGTTAACTTTCAAAAAGAGCAAGTTGGCAGGCTTCTATTGGTGGGTTTGAAGCCAGCAACTTTCAGAAAGTACAAACTGTTGGGGTATAGGGCGGTGAATCCTATGTATCACCAGGGACCTCCTTCCTGAGGGGTGCTCTGCCTACGTGACCTGCCAGGTGTCCTGCCGGGCATCATATAGACTGACCGACCTGGAATTCACACAGCCCCCAGCCAAGCAATTAAGGCAGAATCACAAAAGCAGAAAATATCTAGGTTCTTCACTACCAGAGCTTGGCAGGCCCAAAGCCCGGAATCAGAAATTTATTCTGGGTCTCTTACGTAGGTGCAAGAGTCTAAGCCAGTCTGCTGCTTTCCCTGGCACATTAGCAGGGAGTTGGATCAGAAGTGGAGCAGCAGGAACACAAACTTGTGTCTATGGGATGCCAGCACTGCAGGTGGAAGGTGATCCTGATCCACCACTGCACTGGCTCCCAATTTCAGAATCTGGGAACCTGTGCACTTATTAGCTTACCTGGCAAAAGGGATTTTGGAGATGTGATCAAGCCAAGGCCGTTAGTCCTTGATTGTTTGATGTGCCTGAAGGATCCTTGTAAGAGGGAAGCAATATAATCAGGAAATACAGTGATGGAAATAGTTTCCATTCTTTCAGGACATTTACAAAGCAGCCCAAGGTTCTAACTTGTGTCAGTCATGACAAGTCAGATCTTAGGATTGGCTACTGCATCTTTGAAAGTGTTTGTACAGGAGCTGAGTGTGTGTGGACGATAGGCTTATCACAAGCCAAAACACATGGTGTCTTGAAGCAGCCAAGTCCTAATGCCATCTCTTCTTCATGTCCCAAGACTATCTCCTTCTCTCTCTTTTTGGTCATTGGTTATATTGCTTGTAGTTTTTAATTTATTTAACTAACATTTAAAAAACCAACCCTACAGACTGTTAATCTCCAAGACAGTGATTAACAAAAGCTTACCTATCCTGGCCTTTGTTACCCTGGCTTTTGGGGATGTAAAGGTCTGTTCTTGGACAAGGCACGTCATCCTAAAAGCATGAATGAAGGCTGCACTGTAGTTTAATAAAATCATTTCTGTTAAGCATCTTCTTGTCTGTTCAGTCAATCCTGATGTATTTGGCTCTTTTTCTTTGACTGCTTTTAAGGTTTATCATTGGAGCTCTGATATTTTGCTCCTTTATGTGTATTTTTCCTAAGAGAATTACTTTTATTTTTATTTAAAGATTTATTTTTTTGGGCCCGGCGCGGTGGCGCAAGTGGTTAAAGGTCCTTGCCTTGCACGCCCGGGATCCCATATGGGTGCCGGTTCTAATCCCGGCAGCCCCGCTTCCCTTCCAGCTCCCTGCCTGTGGCCTGGGAAAGCAGTCGAGGATGGCCCAAAGCTTTGGGAACCTGCACCCGCGTGGGAGACCCGGAAGAGGCTCCTGGCTTTGGATCGGCATAGTATCGGCCCGTTGCGCTCACTTGGGGAGTGAATCATCGGACGGAAGATCTTCCTCTCTGTCTCTCCTCTCTGTATATCCGCCTTTCCAATAAAAACATAATAAAAATAAATCTTTAAAAAAAATAAAGATTTATTTTTTTTTATTGGAAAGTCAGATATACAGAGAGGAAGATCTTCCATTCACTGATTCACTCCCTAAGTGGCCACAAGCTGAGCCAGAGCTGAGCCAATCCAATCTCCTTACAGATACAAACTGATGCCCATATGGGATCCTGGTACATGCAAGGTAAGGACGTTAGCTGCTAGACTACTGCACTGTGTCCAAGAGTTATTTTTATTGAAAAGGTAAATTTACACAGAGAAGGAGAAACAGAAAGATCTTCCATCTGTTGGTTCACTTTCTAAATGGTCACAACGGTTGGAGCTGAGCTGATCTGAAGCCAGGAGCCAGGAACTTCTTTCCGGGTCTCCCACACGGGTGCAGGGTCCCAAGGCTTTGGGCCGTCCTCAGCTGCTTTCCCAGGCCACGAGCAGGGAGCTGGATGGGAAATAGAACAGCCAGGGCACGAACCAGCACCCATATGGGATCCTGGGCACTCTTGCAGTCTGAGGCTTAATTAGCCAGTTGAGCTATCTTGCCAACCCCTGCTTTTCTGTGTTTAGAAATGTATTTTCCTCCCCGAGGCATGGGATTCACTAAACCCCTGGAATATGAGTGACAAATATTGTGAGTTCTGGAAAGTTTTCAACCTTCTTCAAATGTTACTTTTGCCCTTTCATTTTCTTTCCTTTTGTGACTTCAATGAAATATATCTTATTTCTAGCCACGATTTCTCTTACCTTCCTTATTATGATTTACTGTCCTTTTACTTCTTCATGGCTTAACCCGCTGTGCCATAATACTGGCCCATAAACCTAAATATTTTATTAAGACATTTAATATTAACAGTTTTGTACTATGAACACAATACAAATATAAAATGTCAAAGGATGAATTAAGAATTTAAGATGTTTTGCCAGTATTAATGGCCTCAACTTGTCATGTAATATGGATGTAAGTCCTATTTGAAGTTGTCTTTTTTAAATCTTTGATACTTTGGGGACAGCTCATGTCAAATATCATTACATCATCACCTTCCTCACATTGTGTGGCTGACAAAAATCCTAGAAGCATGTCAGGTATTGGCTCTGCCATTTTCTTGTCTTTCTTTCATTGTTTTGGGATTATTAACATTAGCTATGACTTGAGATTACTTAGGAAATCTGTTTAAGACACGGGACATTTAGGGGATGACTCAGTTAAAGCTGGAAAATAATGTGTGTTGTCTCACATCTGGCCTCTCATTAATCAGCAGG